AAGTTTCAGGTTCGTGACGAGTTTGTTCGGTCCTCCAGTTGCCCTGGTCGGTTGGTGATTGGACTCCTACGGTCGATTCGTGTCGCGTTGACGCGGTGTGTGGACTGGGATCGAAGTGAGACTGAGACCTCCCACCGTTTCCGTATTTGTGTGTTTATCGGCCTTCCTCAGACATGTTGCCTGCGAGTGCGGGGACCCGGTGGCCAGAGCACAGCAACGCCCACCTTATCTTCCCGTGTCTCGCAACATTTTCGGCTCAATGCTCAGGGGCTCGCTGGTGTCCAGCGCCTCTCCTCTGGCAGCCAGAGCCGTATTGCAGTTCTCGCTGCTTTTTTTACTCGGTGGAGCTCTGTTGTAGGTAGCCTCTGGAAATATGATGCCGCCCACGAGCCGACTCGAGAGGAGAGAGGTCCCCTGGTGCACGCTGTGCCTGGTCTTCAGGGCTTTCCGAACCCCGCAGGGTTAGTACGGTCAGGAACGTATGCTCAGCGTGTCGCGCCGCCAGTTCTGGGTCACCACGCTTCGGCGCGACGCTGGGCCCGCTTCCCAGTCCTCAAGCGTCAACGCTGCGAGCCTTTCCCCCCCCCCGCACAGCGGAGCGAAGCGACACCGCATCCGTTTGTACGCCATGAAGCGTCGCAGGGGCCGCTGCCGCGACACGCTAAACAAACATTCCAGACCGTAGGAGGACCGAGGAGGGAGAGAGGGCCAAGGAACAACATTACACGACGAGGAGAGAGGTCTCATACTCCTGTCGTGTCTCGTTGAGAAACAGGGTCTATGAGTATTTGGGTGTGATAGCGAGTCCGCGTAGACGACAAGCGCGGCAACGACGACGGTGACGTCGACGATGTTTTCAGAGACGTCCTCTTCCTCTGGACATCTTTCAGGAGAAACGAGGGAAATACAAGAGGAATAGCAAGATGAATAGCGAAGGGGACTTCAATTTGCCGTTTTTCCCGCGGCAATTCAGGCAAGCGCGCGTGGCGTTGCTCCGCCCGCTCTCCGGCGTGCTACTCGCGGCGCCTGCTGGCAAAAGGGGTGCTAGTGTGAGTGAGTCTGAGTGTGGGTGAATCTGAGTTTGGGCGCGACGAGTACACGTCTGATTATGAGTAAACCCTTGTGCGGGGCAGTCTGAACGTGAATGAGTCTGAGTGGGTGGCGTTGAGCGCGAATGCGTCTGCGTGCGAGTTGGTCGGAGTGCAAGTGGGTCTGAGATTGAGCGACTATCAGTATGAACGCGTAAGTGTAAGTGGGTCGGAATATGGTTTAGTATGAGTATGGGCGGATTTGAACTTGATGAGCGAGCCTGAGCGAGGACGAGGTGCTGATGAGTAAGTCCGTGTGCGAACGAGTGCGTCTGAATGGGGGATTACGAAAGCGAGTCAGTGAGTAAGTGAGTCAGTGAGTGAGTGAGTGAGTGAGTGAGCGAGTGAGTGAGAGAGTGAATGGGTGAGCGAATGAAGAACACACAAGCCAAACAAAACACCTGCCAGGTAGAAACTGGCAAACCGCCTGAGCCATCCCAGAAGTTTGGGAACGAATCGTGGTGTGTCCTCGCCCCTGGCGGCTACACTTTGGGGTGCCTAAATGCGGCGCCTGGCTCATCGCCGCGAGCATGAAAACGCCAGACAACATATCCTGGCGAAGGACCCAACCATATGCAGTTGTGGGTACCGCAATTGTGAATATCTTCTTCGGTGAAGCTCCCTATGGGGCCACTCAGCGCTGCACAGAGTGTGTGGGGGGGAACGCATGCGGGCGGTAGCATTGGGGCCGTCGGTGGAGCTCCTTATAAGGTCATGTAGCGCTGCATTGGGTGGGGGGGCGCATGCGGGCGGTAACACCTGGGCCTTCAGTGGAGCTCCCTATGGGGCCACGAAGCGCTGTACGGGGTTGGGGGGACGCATGCGGGCGGTATCACTGGGACCGTAGTTGGAGCTTCCTATGGGGCCACGAAGCGCTGCACTGATCGGGGGGGAACGCATGCGGGCGGTAGCAGTGGGACCTTCGGTGGAGTTCCTTATGAGGCCACGCAGCGCTGCACTGGGCGTGGGGGGCGGATGCGGGCGGTAGCACTGGGACCGTCGGTGGAGCTCCTTATGGGGCCACGGCGCGTTGCACTGGGTGGGTGGAGCGCGCGCGGGCGGTAACACCCGGCCTTCGGTGGAGCTCCCAATGGGCCACGAAACGCTGTATTGGGTGGGGGGCCGCATGCGGGCGGTACCACTGGGGCCGTCGGTGGAATTCCCTATGGGGCCACGAAGCGCTGGGGGGGCGCATGCGGGCGGTAGATTCGGAATCATCGGTGGAACTCCCTATGGGGCCACGAAGCGTGTGAGGGGTGTGCCGAAGTGGGTGTGGGGGACGCATGCGGGCGGTGGCACTGGGGCCTTCGGTGGAGCTCCCTATGGGGCCACGACACGTGTGAGGGGTGTGCTGACATGGGTGTGGGGGACGCATGCGGGCGGTGGCATTGTGGCCTTCGGTGGAATTCCCTATGGGGAAAGAAACGTGTGAGGGGTGTGCCCAATTAGGTGTGGGGGACGCATGCGGGCGGTTCCACTGAAGTTGTCGGTGGAGCTCCTTATGGGGCCACGAGGCGCTGTAATAGGTGGGTGAAAATGCCAAATGCCAAATTAGATGTGTGGGACGCATGCGGGCGGTCCCGCTGGGGCCCCGGTGGAGCTCCTTATGGGGCCAAGCGCTGTACTGGGTGGGTGAAACTACAAAGTCGGGTGTGTGGGACGCATGCGGGCGGTCCCACTGGGGGTTGCGGTGGGACCCCCCATGGGGCCACGAGGCGCTGTACAGGGTGGGTGAAAATGCCAAATTTGGTGTGTGGGCCGCATGCGGGCGGTCCCACTGGGGGCTTCGGTGGAGCTCTCTATGGGGCCAGGAAGCGCTGCCTTGGATGGGTAAAAATGCCAAATCGTGTGTGTGTGTGTGTGTGTGTGTGTGGGGGGGAGACGCATGGGGAGGTCCCACGGGGGGCTTCGGTGGAGCTCCTTATGGGGCCACGAAGCGCTGTACTGTGTGGGTGAAAATGCCAAATTGCATGTGCGGGACGCATGCGGGCTGTCCCACTGGGGGCCTCGGTGGGGCTCCCTATGGGGCCACGTAGCGTTGATTGGGTGGGTGAAAATGCCAAATGGGGTGTGTGGGACGCATGCGGGCGGTCCCAGTGGGGGCTTCGGTGGAGCTCCCTATGGGGCCACGAAGCGTTGTACTGGGTGGGTGAAGCGCAGGGGGGAGGGAGGAGGGGGCCACGAAACGCTGTACTGAGCGTGTGGCGCGCATGCGAGCGGTCCCACGGGGGGCTTCGGTGGGGCTCCCTATGGGGCCACGAAACGTTGTGCTGGGTGGGTTAAACGCAGGGAGGAGGGAGGAGGGGGAGGATGGTGAGGAGGAGGGCGAGGAGGAGAAGAGGAGAACGCGGGGCACCGCCTCTTCAAAACGAGGACCCAACACCACAGGATGGCTGGGAAAAACACTGAAGACAATCGGAATGCAATAGCACACGGACAAACCTATACTCGGCCAAATGTTATGGAAAAGCAAGACGCGGATAGGGACAAACGATCATCTGGACAACTTCAGGGGAGAGACGGGAAACATACAGTGGAGACCCATGCCATCAAACACCCTGCTTGCTGCCAGGGTGCCCTGGATTTCTTGGGTGCCGATTGTTTTTCTAATGAGCGTCGTGGGGTATCAGGGTTGTGTTTCATGTGGAAGGTTTCTTGCGGAGTAGCCTCCACTATATTCATATCGAACAACCGTAAAGCATCGTTGATCGAAGCGGAACAAGGTTTGGGACGAGGCTCCTTTGGGGCTCTCGGGAAGTCTCCGCGACCCTCTTGCAAGCCTTTCGGGAGTCTCTAGAGGGTTTCTTGGGGCGTAACCTCACCCAGTGATTAACAACGCCCCTCCGGTTATCAGTAGCACCGCACCGATATTAACAAACTAGAGCCATCGCGCGCGCTCAAGTTCTAGCTAGGCTGGATGGTCGAACTCTTGGGGATCTCTATTCCATGACCCTTCTTCTGCAGGGATTCCAAGAACCATGAAGACGGCCCGAGTGGCTTCGAAGACTTCCTACGGTCCACCCGCGACGGCGTAAGACAGGCCCAAAAGGCACTTCGGGGGCCCCTTTATTCGCCGCGGCTGGACGTAGCCGGAGGAAGAGGGAGGAGGAGGAGGAGGTGAGTGGGGTTCCCTGGGGGAGAAGGAGGAGGAGGAGCTGGAGAGGGTGGAGGAGGCCGCAGGGGAGGAGGAACCGGAGGAGGAGGAGGAGGAGGAAGAGGAGGAAGAGGAGGAGTCATGATGTTTCTTTTCTTTTGCAAGCGTAGCGAAATTGCCAGGCGAAATTAACAATTATCCTGGCGAAGGACCCAACCATATGCAGTTGCGGGTACCGCAATTGTGAATATCTTCTTCGGTGAAGCTCCCTATGGGGCCACGAAGCGCTGCACTGGGTGGGGGGGAACGCATGCGGGCGGTAGCACTGGGGCCGTCGGTGGAGCTCCCTGTGGGGCCACGAAGCGCTGTACTGGGTGGGTGAAAATGCCAAATTGGGTGAGTGGGACGCATGCGGGCGGTCCCCGAACCGACCTCGATCTTGTACCTCGCTCCTGCTGTATTCTCGATGGCGGGGGGGCGCTGCTTTGTCCCGCGCGCCAGACCGAGCGATACCTGGCGCGCGGGATAGAGCAACGCCCCCCCGCCATCGAGAATGCAGCCGGAGCGAGGTACAAGATCGAGGTCGGTTCGATGAGGACACCCCGAAATTCTTCGTGTTCGTTGGATATTTTTGTGTATCTTGGGGAGGGTACCCTTGGATGTTCTGTGTGTTTTGGCTCACGGAGGGTCTCATGTTTCTGAAGGGTGTTACTATGTTTTGGGTCTGGCTGTAAGAGAGCCCCTATTCCGAACAGCACAGTGACGACGCAGCCTAACCCAGGTCCCCGCCTCTGCATCAGGGATCATCCACCTGGGCGGCTTGGGTGGGTACACCTGCTGACAAGAACCCCCTGACCCGAACGTCCCTAATTGATGGGGCCTCCTAACTCAGGTCTGGTCCCACAGGGCTTAGGCTTAAGTCGGGCTTGTCCCTCCACAGGGGGAAGATTCAAAAATAGTCAAAAATAGTATGGGGACTATTTTGTGAGTTTTTTCGTAAAAACATGGAAACACAATTTTGTAGTATTTTCGAGTATTTTGTTTTTTCTGCCGAAATCCCCCTGTAGGGGGACACGCCCGACTTAAGCTTAGGGGCCCTCTGACTGCTGACTGGCCCCGCGCAGCCGCAGGCAGTGCTGGCCTGGGCGTGCGGGCGCACGGGGCTCCTCTCGGGAGACGTGGGCACGCCGAGGCCCCTGCGAAAGGAGGGTCCTTCTGGCGGAGGCCTCCTCCTCCGTCTCCTCCGCCCTCCGCCCTCCGCCCTCCTCCTCCTCCTCCTCCTCCGCCCTCCGCCCTCCTCTTCTCCTCCTCCTCCTCCTCTTCTCCTCCTCCTTCTCCTCCTCCTCCTCCCTCCTCCTCCTCCTCCTCCTCCCTCCTCCTCCTCCTCCTCCTCTTCCTCCTCCTCCTCCTCCTCCTCCTCCTCCCTCCTCCTCCGCCCTCCTCCTCCGCCCTCCGCCCTCCGCCCTCCGCCCTCCTCCGCCCTCCTCCTCCTCCTCCTCCTCCTCCTCCTCCTCCTCCTCCTCGGCGTGTACTGGCTCCCCGCACGAGGCTCGCCTTCTGGGCGCATGGCTTCCTGTCGGCTGCGGGGCTGCTTCTGTGCCGAGCCCCGACCGACCGTCCACGGGACTCCCCCGAGTTCTCCCGAGGCCCGCGGAGGTGTCCAGAGGGCTCCAGATGTCCTGAGAGGCTTCTGCAGGCCCTCGGAGATTCAACGTTTTCCCATGTCTTGAGATCTCACCTTGCGAAACAATTACAGACCACCAAAAATCACGACTGGAGCCCCAGACCCCATCTTTCTGCGGCACTTTGCGAGCCGGATCGATCTGTGATGGCCCCGGGGCCCGAAACCGAACGATAACGCCCGTTGTGAAATCATTGCGACACCCAGATCTCAGGGAACGTCAGGGACGGTTAAACCATGATCCGAAATATACAAAAACGCTGGCCTGGTGGATCCGAAGTCAGAGGGCTCCAGACGTCCCTGGAGGTCCCTCTTGGCTTCTGGAAGCTTTCGGAGGCCGATGGGAGGGGGGGCATAGGGGGGGATGCATCGACCTACAATTGCTTATTGGTCGCCGATAAGGGGCCCGATGTTTGGCCCGAACCTGCCCAGGAACGTGCGGATTCACGATCGCGGGCCTATCGCCGATCGATGTATCGCCGATTCCAGGTCAATGTGTCCCCGCGTATGCCATTTTCCTCCTTATCGTTGCTCCTCAAACCACCCTGACACCCGCGGGTATGTTTCGGGGGTTGCCAGAACCTCCACCCTGACACGTCGATTAGTGAATCGTGCGGCCGTCATTTTCCAGGCTTGCGCCCGCCAGGTTTGGGCCCGAGATCGTTTCCGCTAAACGTTGTCCATCCCCGAATGTTTTTTTCCATCCGCGGCCCCTGGGGGCCAGGCTTCCGCCCCGGATCCATTTCTGATCGGCCCGGGGCCCCCTAGCGGCCCCCGAGGGCCAGAAACGGCGAAACACTGCCGATCGAAGAGGACATCTCGTCGGAGATCTGGGACCCAAGCAGTGCCATAAACACGTTCTCGGTTGGCCCGAGGTCACCGCGTGCGTTACCTGCCACACCCTGGTGCTGGTGGGCAACATCGACACCTCGTCGGCGCTCACGACCGTCGGTCAGTCCACCTCGGGCTGGTCAGGCCAGGCGTCGAAGTCCGCGCACTGTGCACCTCCTTCCGTCTTCCTCCCCAGGCCTCCCTCGAGTCGCGACAAGAATCACGACGGGAGGTTTTCGACCGTTTTCGGCCTCCAGGGGCCCTTGCCGGACCCCGGGGCCGTCAAAGCGACCCGGGTTGGAAGAGCAGTGCCAGGGAAGGGGTCGAGACCTCCGGGGATCCACGGTGCGAGAAAATCGCGGCGTTGGGGGTCTGGGACCCCCCCGTCTACCACTGTTCCCTTCCCCCTCTCCCGCTCATCCCTCTCCCCACTCGGTCTAGCTTGGAAGTTGCTCGTGTTGCCTTGGCCTCGGGAGGCTTCAGAGTAGCAATCCTTGGGACAATTTGGCCTCGGGAGGCTTCCGAAAAATGAGGTCAAGTAGAACATGTTGTTCGGTTCGGGAGTCCTCTTGGGAGGCCCTCCCCTTCGCCCCGGCCCGCTCGACCCCAGCCGCGCCACCCGCCCTTCCCCCCTTTCCCCAGACGTCCTCCGATATGACTTGTTCGGCCTGCGGCCCCGGAGGCCCTGACCGCCTCCCAGGGGGAGGTTTTCGCCCCGCACGTCCTCTCCTGATGGCCCCGGGGCCCGACGAAGGGCCCCAGAGCCCAAGTCAGGGAACGACGCGGGCTCGCGGTCAGGATCGCTCGCCTGTCGCGCCTCGCCGCCAGCTCCGGCCCACCACGCCTCGGCGCGACCCGATGGCCCCGTCGCCATCCACGTCCCGAGCCTCTCGGAGCCTCCCGCCCCGCGCAGCAGAGCCTCGCGCTCTCGGCTCGCGGGGCATGCCGTGTCGCCGGGGCCGCCGCCGCGGCGCGCTGAGCAAGAGTGCTTGACCGGTCAGGGAGGGCACAGCGCGCAGACCTCTGCCCCGCCTCAGCCGTGGGCGTGGGGCTCGCGACGGCCATGGAGGACGAGCTCGAGGCGCTCATGACCAACTGCTCCGACCAGATGGTCGACGTCCTGGAGGGAGGGAGGGGGGGAGGGAGGGAGGGCAGACTTCCGACGTACAGTGTTTTTGTCCGAGCCAAGTTTCCCCCAGCTTCTCCCGATTCGGAGCATGCGGGGATGCTCTCGAGCCCCAGGAATCCGTCAGAGGCTATCCCCACGGCCACATGGTGGTCCAGATGAAGGGCTTGGGAGCTCGGAGCGACAACTCTTGGAAAAACACGATGCCGGAGGTCCGAAAGGATGGAGGGGGGGCTAAATATGGTGTCCTGAGGGACCCTGATCGGGGAATTACTGATGTTTTGTAGGGTTTCAGGCTGGCTAGGATGTTCCAGGGCGGTCTAGAAAGATTTAGGAGGGCCCACGAGGGTCCGGGAGGAGGAGGAGGAGAAGGAGGAGGAGGAGGAGGAGGATGACGAGGAGGAGGAGGAGGAGGAGGAGGAGGAGGAGGAGGAGGAGGAGGAGGAGGAGGAGGAGGAGGAGGAGGAGGAGGAGGAGGAGCAGCGCACAGTGAAGCAACACGAATTGGCTATCCTCCTGGAACGCGATTGCTGTCAGCACCCACCATGAGATTGGGGGGAGGTGTTCTGCATCGTTCTTGACGATACGTGGATCGAGCAGCAACTCTGCACTGTGAGGGTGTGTGCCTGCAGGCACAGCCGATCCCTGGCTTGAGACTCGTTTCGACCCTCCCAAATCGGGCCTAGCCTCGACTGCGCCCAACGCAAAAGACACTGATCTGCCTGCCTGCACTAGTTTTGGAAACCATGAGCCCCAAGACTCGTTTGGGGAGCGAGTGCTGCTTCCGCCGGCCTCTGCTGGCCATACAAACGAGGGCGAGAGGTGCCTCAGGCGAGGCCCTTCCTGGAGCGCCCCCGCCTTGGCGCCCACCTGGCCCTCCCTGGGGACGCCCGACGAGGGGTGCCCTGGACGACAACGTGGACAACGACGACGACGACGACGACGACGACGACGACGACGACGACGACGACGACGACGACGACGACGACGACGACCACAGCCACCACCAACACCACCACCAACCAACACCACCACGACGACGACGGCGACGGCGACGACGACGGCGGCGGCGGCGGCGGCCATGGTAGCAGCGATGGCGGGGGAGGATCGCTCGGCCTAGCAGGGCCGCCGTGCGCCGCCTCCCGTCCTGCTGGGGGGTCCTGTGCTCACCGGGGTGCCCGCGGGCCCTGGCAGCGGGGAGGGGCGCGGACAGGGTAGGGGCAAACGGGCAGAGAGGAGCCAAGGGGCACGAAGAGTGGGGGCGGAGGGGCAGGATAAAGTTAGACCATAGAAGGACAATAGGAGGAGGAGGAGGAGGAGAAGGAGGAGGAGGGGGAGGGAGGAGGCAGAGGAGCAGGAGGAGGACCATGAGGAGGAGGATGAGGAGGATGCATGGGATACAGAGGATACAGAGGATACAGAGGAGGAGGAGGAGGAGGAGGAGGAGGAGGAGGAGGAGGAGGAGGAGAAAGACGAGGAGGAGGCGGAGGAGGAGGAGCAGGAAGACCAGAGCAAACCCAGGATGCACCAGTGAAGCTTCAATACAGCGTCCCGTTCAGAGTCCCCTCTTCGTCAGTCCTCCCTTACATGCAGTACCGCTCACTGCGCGAAGTGCCTCCACCTTGAAACACGAGCTTCCCATGGGCCCGCACCTCTAGCGATAGGTTCGTCTTGAGAGACACCGCCTCCTGCCCGGCCATACTTCTTCGACGAGTGTCCCCTCACTTTTCCCCTCCCCTTCCCGTCTTTTCTCCCGCTCCCTGCCTCCCCAGGCGCGCGCGCGCGCCTAGCGGTCGCGGTCGGTGGCTCAGGTCCCACGGCCGCGCGCCCGCCTCCGCACTCTGGTGCCTCCTACCCTTCTCCTCCCTCTCTCCTGCCCTCAAGGGTATTCCCCCTCTAATCGTCAGGCGTCCTTACCCGCGCTCGGCCCATCGCAAAATTCACGGGAGTTCCCGGCGACGGCCTCGCTTTCAAAAGGAGCCGCCCTCCATCTGTACAATTGCTGCACAAGGTTAGACGTCTGGATCTCCAGTTGCTTTTTGATATGTCATGCGAGAGCTCCGTGGAGTTACGGTCGAACGTATGATTCACAGTCCTCTCCCCGAGAAGTTGAGCCGCCGTTTCTTACCCAACTTGCTTGAAAGTTGGTCCAGTTTTTCAAGCACGCTTGCTCCTGCAACATTTACTACACAAGTTGGCTTCGGCTTGCTGAAGGCAATTTCCAGGACGCTGGCCCAGGTGCATGAATTCATTGTTGTTTTAGAAGTCACTTGTGCGGCTGTCATCAACATCCCTCCATCCGTTTGAATACTGCACTTGTTTACGATTGTGCGCGTACATAATGAGAGAGTATCAGGCAAGAGCCCCAGTGTGAAGGAAACTTTTTTCCCGTGCAGCTGCAATATTATTTTACGGCGAGTGCGCGCGGCGCTAAGGCAAGAGCCCCATCTTGAAAACGGTTCGCCATGCATCCGCGTAACTCAGATATTCCCAGCCTGCCGTTCGGTTCTTGCTTTGAATGGACTATCGCGGTCTGCATCGCCTCCCACCTCCCTCCTCCATCCTCCTTTCCCCTCCTATCTGCTACCAGCTACCTCCGTCTTCGCTCTAACGCTGGAGGCAGAATGCGAAATTCCTCCCACTTGTGATGGCTGCTGGGGGTCCAGCGGAGTGACGTCTTGAAGGCGTCGCGAGTAGACCTCGCTTCCCTGTGTGGCTGCGAGCTGTGACGCTGTTGCCACTTTCAAGGGCTGCTGAGGGGTCTCGCGGAGTGGCGCCTTGAAGGCGTCGGAACTAGCTGCGGAGGTTACAAATTGTGAACCTGTCGTCACGTTCGAGGGCCGCTTGGGGCCAGCGGAGTGACATCTTGAATGCATCAGAACTAGACCTCGTCTCTTGTGGGGCTGCGAACCGTGAAACAGTTATCACTTTCGAGTGCTGCCGACGGGTCCAGCGGAGTGACGAATTAACGGCGTCGGAACTACACCTCGCCTCCCAGTTGGGCAGCGAGCTGTAAATTTGTTACCATGTTCGACGGCCGTTGAGGCATCCAGCGAGGCTACGTTTCAAGAGCGTCGGAACTAGACACCGTCTCCCTGCGGAGGCTGCGAACTGTGAAACTGCCGCCACGTTCGAGTGTTGCTGGGAGGTCCAGCGGAGTGACGTCTTAAAAGGCCTCGCAATGAGACCTCGCCTCGCTTTGGGGCTGGCCACAGCGAAACTATGTCCTCTTTCGTGTGCTCCTGGGGGTTCCAGAGGAGTGGCGTCTTAAAGGCGTCGTGACCAGACCTCGCCTCTCTGTTGGGAGTAGGCGGGGCGGCAACTGCGAGGGCTGCTGGAGGGGTTCCAGCGAAGAGACGTCTTGCAGCTGTCGGAGCTGGACCTCGCCTCTTTGGGGCTGCGAGCGTTGTCATTGTCGCCACGTTCGGGGGCTGCCGGAACGTCCAGCATAGAGACGCCCTGACGGCATCGGCACTGGCCCTCGCCTCCCTGCGGAGGTTGCGAGCCGTGAAATCGTCGCCACGTTCGAGGGCTGCTGGGCCGCAATGGGCAGGTGTGACGTCTTGAAGGCGTCGGCACTGGACCTTGCTTCCCTGGGGGGCTGCGAATTGTGAGACGGTTGCCGATTTTGAGACTGCTGGGGTGTCCAGTGGAGCGATGTCTTGAAGGCGTCGCTGCTAGGCCTCGCCTTTGCTGGGGGGGGTGGCAATTGCGAAACTGTCTCCTCTTTCGTGCACTCATGGAGGGTCCAGCGGAGTGGCGTCTTGAAGGCGTCGCATGTCGACCTCGCCTCCCTGGTTGGGGCGGCTGGCAACTGCGAAACAGTCGTCACTTCCGTGGGCTGCTGGGGCGATCCAGCGAAGTGGCGCCTCACATAGGCGGCGCCAGGGGGGAAGTGAGAAGGAGCGGGCCTTCTCAGAAGGCGGGGTTTTACAGAAGCCCTCCGGGCTTGTGATATAAGTTTTCTGCAATTTCGGGGAGGGCTCATAGCATTTTCCAGAAGGCCCGAGGACTTCTGAGCCTTCTGAGAAGGCCCACCCCTTCTCACTTCCCCCCCGGCTCGCCGCCGATTAACGGCGTCGGAGCTAGACCTTGCCTCTATGGGGGGTTGCGAAGTTCGTAACTGTCGTCGCTTTCGAGAGCTGCTGTGGTGTCCAGCGGAGTACCGTCGTGAACGCGTTGGAGCTAGACCTCGCTTTCCTGCGGGGGCTGCGAACTGTGAAACAGGCGCGATGTTTGATCGCTGTTGGGGGGTCCAGCAGGGTGATGGCTTCAGGATGTCGAAGTAACGTCGTCTCCCTGCGGAGGCTGCGAAATGTGAACTTGTTGCCACTTTCGAGGGCTGTTGGGGGGTCCAGCGGAGTGCCTTCGTAAAAGGCGTCGGAGATAGAACCTGCTTGCTTGGCGGAGAGGCCGGCGGGAGAGCTAGGCCTCGCTTGCTTCCTGCGCGAGCTGTGAAGAGCTGATCATTCGGGGCGCCAGAGCGACATGGCGCTGGCATCGCTGCGCATCAGCGGGCCACTTGAAAAAATCGCCGCCCTCCTTTCTCGTCCCTCCTCCCTCATTGCCGTCCTCTTCCTACCTCCTTCGTCTCCCTGCTGCTGCCGCGTTGGCTCTTTGATCCCCCCTCCCGTCCTTCTCCTGCCCCTCGTGCCCGCCCCCATTCTTCACCGACCCTTG